TGATAAATAAATCTGCAAGCTCAGCAAAAGAATTTATAGAATTTTCAGGTAAGAGAGAATACCATGTTAGTGCCCCCTTAGTGAGTGTTTCACCGAATTTTTTGACCAAGACTAATTCAATCTCCTGCTTAGTCAAATCATTGCCCTTGACTCCTGTTGTAAATGTGGTAACATGATCTCGTGGGTCTGTTGTCCCATCATACTTTGGAATATCAGGCATCTTGAACTTCTTTGGAATTGGGAGAGGGGCGGCACTTGGCTTCCATGGCTGTTGAGAATATTTATTTATATCTACTCCCTTGATCAGGGGTGGTACTCCGGGTATTTGTTCTATGCGGTCGTTTTGCTCCCTAAGCTGTTTCTGCAATGTTAGCACTAGATTTTACAAATCAGAATTAATTGGATTACCTGGGTCTCTCTCCTGTGTTTCACTGGGGGTTCCACCGCTGCCTGAATTAACCAGTCCAGAACGAAGGTTCTCCAAAATATTGTTATTTGGAGTAGGTGTGGGTGGAGCAGCAGGTAATTGACTAACAAAAGCTTGTAAAGCTTTGTTGACCTGAGTAGCGATAAGTTTTTGTAAGGCATCATCCATAGCTTTAGCATTTTCAAATTGACCTCGTTCTTCTGTGTGAGATCCTTCAGGAGCGCCTTCACGAGATTGTCGTGGTAAGTCTCGTGGGGTTTGATCATTTTGCGGATCTCCCTGATTTTGCTGATTGATTGGGTTTCCTTGGATATTGTCATTGTTGTTCGACATAGTTGATTCCACAAAGAAAATCAAGCTGAGATATAATTGATTATCAGATTCCCGGTAACGGAACCAATTTGTTTAACCAAAAATTAGATTTTAGGTCAAAGCTTGAATTTAGAAGAACACGGGTTACTGATAATCGGAAAAAAGTATATAAAGAAAGAAATTTGTGAATAATATGATCAGAAAGCAAATAAATCAAAGTATATTCCAATAGTGTATTTTTCGTGCTTACAGTTGTTTGTGATTTTCCCTTTTATAGCCATTTTGGGAATACAGACTTTACCTTTGTCATAATAAGACAATTATGGGTAATTAATGACTTTAAATGTTACGTTATGCAATCATATACATTAAATACATATTCTCTAACGTTTCCAGTATTTAATACTCATTAAATGTTGTATCTGGGCTCTTTTTTGCTGTCAGATTCATTCCTTTGACTCTTCACGATCTTTGACCTTTAAATGTCTTGAATAGGTACGAGCGTTGAATTACTTGTATGACTGCTCGTGCCTTTTCCATTTAACTTGTTCGTATCTGTTGTTGCTCGTATCTGTTGTTGCTCGTATCTGTTAACCTACCTTAATTCTTTGACTGTTTGACCAGTCTACGTGTCATGACACGTCACCATATATATATAAATACAATTTTTCCCAATACATCTGTCATGACCAAATTAAAGTCTTATTATCAATATGTTAATGTGTGTATGCGCGAGAGAATATGTTCGGTCTAATACAATTCGGTATTGGGAATTGTATTCTTTATTTACTTTTGTTGCAAAATACAAACACACCGAAAAGTTTTTGATTCCGGTTGCTTGGAACTATTTTGGATAATTGCCTCGGCTTTTCTTTGAAATTGGAACTTCCTACTGAGTAAGCAAGCGGAGGGAGAATTGTTTTTGGGCTTAAAATTCTGTGACTCGTAAGCTCTTCATATCTAAATAAAGATGGCTAAGGGACAAAAATTAATTTACCTCTGGAAAGCTCAAATTTCGTGCGTGAATGAATGAATTGATGCGATTGTACAAAAATTCAATGAGGCAACGAAACTCTTTATATAGTTAGAACTGAGTTCAATGTCCTTTACCAACATGGAATTGCTATGATTTAGAACTTCAAGAATAGGTAGGAGTAGGACATTCTAGCTAAGCGTTGAACCTTGTTGGTTTTAGAATTTCATACAAATTCTTATTAGGAAGAGGTTAATATTACAACTTTGTCCAACTTGTTAATGAAATAATTAATGTATTAAAGGATATAAAAGTCAGTTAATATTACGGGAATATTTTAGTCGTTTAATATTTAGAATATTAATTCGTATTTTTATAATAATATAGATATAGATATAGATATAGATAGATACATACATAGATAGATATAGGATAGAACATGAACTGTACTTTGAATTTTGGAAATGACGATAATAATATCGGTCTTTTGAACGTCAAACTAAATATAGAAAATGAAAGAAAACAAAAAATAGAAGATACTCCAAGTGGAAGAAAGTGGTTTAATTTACGGCAAATATAGTCCACAGTTTTAAGGTAGGGGTGAGTCACCCCGGGTGACAAGGGGTGCACCATTTTCAAAACATGTTCTTCTTCCATAAATACATGCATGTTTTTGTATTATTTTCTGTAACCCTACTTTCATCAAACTGAGCACTACTCTGTCATGACTCATGTTGAGCCTGAAGAAAACTGCCTAAAAACAAAAATAACATTTTACATTTTTGGCAATATGTATCAGAAATTGGTATTTCACACACTTGAGTAGTTATCTCTTCGTAACGGTGATGTTCGGGTCAACTCGGACACATCTCCACAGGGCAGCAGCGGACCTAATTAACCTTTAGCCCATAGGCTCTCATAAACCCAGTAGCTTATGACTAAACCATATACTTGTATTAAGAAATTTACTAGATAATTATTAATATTTGACTGCGGAGTTAGTCAGTTTTATACATATAT